CAAACGGTGCTCAAACCGGTGCTTAAAGAATGGAGGACACAAAATTGGTCCAAAAACCTCTCATGTTCAGCTGTTTTTTGTAAAAAGATAACAATGTTAGCCTTTTCTGCAGCTATGGGGCATATATGGTATCACTCTTGGCTGGAAGCAGTGCTTAAACAATGGAAAAAACACAAACTTTGTCCTAAACCTCTCATGTTTAACTGTTTTCCACTTTTTCTTTGGTCATTTTAGCCTTTTTGGCCAGGGTGAAGGGAGCATCTGCCATCAAACAAGAAGACAGCCGCATGTAGCTATGATGATGTTTGCTAGTTCACCTTACATGCATTAATGTAATAACGTGGTTAGCCTACTCAACGTAAATTACACACGAACAACATTAAGCTACTCACGCAGAGAAGAACGGCTGCTGCTGCCATCATCATCCGTCATCATTTCTGCTACACTGGCAGGGCTAGGGGCCAGGACTCTACTCTTCGTGTTTTTGGGGGATGTTGCATAACAGGCAACCCACCCGCAGTAAATGTGCTCGGTGTGAGGTCTCGCAGCAAGCTATCAAATACGGCGCATTTCTGGGCTTTTAAAAAAACACGCTATGCGTGTTTCATCGGATTTGAGGTGTTACCTCCTTTGACAGTATCACAGTATCAGCTTAAAGCACTTGTTGCAGGCTGCTGAGTTTGCATATTTTGCTGTGAAGTACAGCCAGACTTTTGACCGCTTCGCCTTGGACATTTTTAATCTGTAGCTCTGCTCTAAAAGAACATACGTACCTGGGCCCGCCTACTATCCTCGGAAACGTAAAATGATTGGCTAGAAGTGTATCACAGCTCAGGAAAAAAAAGCACCGAAATAAAGCACCGAAATGTGCGCTGCTTTTCGGTCTGGTTACTACCGTTTATGTCAGAACCGGTACCCATCCCTACCATTTGCGCAATATCTCTAAAATTAGAAATATCCAGTCTCCGAGTGATGCTGAAAAACTAGTTCATGCATTTATTACATCTAGGTTGGACTCTTGTAATTCATGTTTCCATAAAAGAGGGGCCTGAAAACTAAAGGCTCTGATGGACAAAGAACAAACATCAGCATCTGTGTAGAACTGATAAAAGTCAATTATCACTGCTGATGAAAGCTGTGTCTCACCACTCTTCAGCGGAAATGCCTGCAGTTTCCATGCCTGAAGAAATGATTTCAGAAGTGCAAGCATTTGAATGCTTGTTTCTTTTGACATTCACAGGGTTGTGCACCATGCTCTTAATTTGTCCCTGAGGGTCAGACTGTCAATCCAAATGTAGCAGGAGGAAGAAGAAGCCTAGAAGTGGAATATAGCTGCAAAAACATAGCGAGTAAATCAGGTCCACTTTTTGTTTTTCATAGATTTTATATAACCCTGCAACATAAGAATTCTAATTTTAAAGACGTATTTCTAGAGATATTTTTTTCTGTCTAATCTCATCAAATACTGTCTTTTGAAGACAAAAGATATAAAAATATTTAGTATATTTGTTTATTACTAAACAGCAGTCTAAGCAGAGACACCCAGACCTCCCTCTCCCCAGCCACTGCTTCAAACTCACCAAGCTTGAGGAGGTGCTTGAACACAGAGGCATTACAATTGCAGACCAAGCGAGTCGAGGGATATAACCTCTCCCTTTGAGGTATGCCCTGAGCCTTCCTCCTATTGTGGCATGCTCAAAAAACTTCACTTAAGAGGCTTCTAGGAGTCTGTCAATCTCCCACCACTCCCCTCATTCTCCAACAAGATCCCAAGATATACTTAAATTCCTCCACTTGGGGTAGCAGCTAGGCCCTGACAAGAAACATAGCTGAGAACTATGGGCTCATACTTGGAGGTGCTAGTTTTTATTCCCACCACTTGACACTTGACTCCAAACCACTTCTCCAGTGCCAGTTGGAGGCAACCACCTGATGAAAAATCAGAACCACATCTACAAAAAGCCGAGACCAGAACAAGTGGAAACCATCTGCTACTTGGCTATTCCTAGAAATTATATCCGTAAAAATTATGACTGACATTGGTGAAAAAGGGTAGCTGTGGCTGAATGGCCCTAACAAGAGGCCAGATACCTGCGCTAAGTACCCCCTACTGGATCCCCTGCAGGACACAGTCCAATGCCTTCTCCATAAAACACACAAAACCTTGAAATACCTTCGGGAGGATAGAAAATTGGTCAAATGTTCTATGACCAAGACAAAAACAATAATGTTGATAATGCAAGCACACAGTGATATGTGTACGTGGCTATATGCATACAGAACATGCACAGATAAACAACAGGATGGACAAACACACGAAAAAGGGGTTAATGCCATTAAGAGATGTGCAGGGCTCATTTAGTACAGACAACCAGCACATCAGATTATAAAACACACAGACAGTGTGTGTTTGCGTGTTCCTGTGTATCCCGGAGGTGTGGTTGATCTCCTGACTGTGATAATGTGATATCCAGCCCTTGTCTTTGATCCCCTCATCACTATAAACACTGCTGATGCCTGGTAAACACATGCTGCCATTAGCACACTGAAATGGCTGCTCTGTGTGAGTGTGTAAAACAGAGAGAGAAAGAACTACTTTTAATGAGTGTACCCAAAAGAGCTAAAGTACATTTAAGGTCATAAAACTCATTTTAGACAACATGTAAACAGAAAACTGAGGATATATCTCAAAGTCCTTAACAGTATGTGATTTATCAATCTCTGTAGTGTGTGTCAAAATAACAATATATATAAAATGGATCATTTCTCACTTAAAACCCCCCCAACAACTTTACAATAAATTACTTTGTAATAAAAAACAAGGGGGATGAGCATCTCATATGAGATAATGGATAAACACACTGGAGATAGATTCAGCAAGTGATTAAGGGCAAACACAGAGATGCAGACAAACACTAACATGCACATCTAAAGCCTAACTACATGGTGGAAGCATTGAAACTGAAATACTGTTTGATTCAATCATTAAATCAACATCATAGAACAACTTAGAATCAACATTTCAGTGTTATTAACAGGAAATACATATTGTTATAGAAAATATATTTGGGAGCTTATAAAATTTCAATTGACTAAGCTACTAGATTACAAAACATTTTGATCACTGGTTTAACTGCACCAGATTGCTTAACAATGATGTGTGAAACATTGAAGCATTCCTCCTCCTGGAAGAGTAAAGGCTTGATATGACTCAAATAGGACTAAATTAAACTTTAGGAAACAGCTTCTGTCTGTGGAATATTTAATTTTCTAGAATGTAGAAAAGCTACAAAGTTCTTCATAAAAAGTGGCTCTGTGGAATGTCAACATGTCATGAGCAAAAGAAGAACAGCCCTGTGTCACTGTGGGTTTTTCCACCCATTAATATGTTATCAGCACAGTGAATGGCTATTATCAGTCATTATGACTCCAATAGATATGGGCCAATAGCTGCTCTTCCATCTACTAGCATGCCCATTATAATCAGAGAAGTCCTGCATCAGTTATGTGTACTTAGGTAATTGTTAACCCCACAGTTAGCAGTCTGTTAGGTACTGCTTCTATATGTTTTTTTTAACCCAGTGATCCATAATCCAGCTGTACGAGAACATTTTGAATCAAGCAGTGACATTTTCAAACGCTAACAGAAAACATATCTCAGAAAGCTCTTGGCTGAATGACGGGGGGAACAAAGTAGATAAGAGAAAAAGGAAAGGAGAAGAAAGGAGAGGACAGGTGTAACTCAGTTTGCTCAGGAGCAAAAAGACTAAGAATGAAAAAAATAAAGGAGGAAAAACAGAGAAGTCCAGAAGGGAGCAACACAACTGATCTGTGTGTGCTCAGGCTGAATCCCAAATCAACAGACCTGCTAAATCAAGAGCAAACAGAAGGGTGCTGCTCTGTGTCACTTCAGAAATATGCTATAAGTGCAACTGATGCTTTGATTTTATGTTTTATAGTGTTGCCAGCTGTAAAGTGCCAGTTCTTCCTTCTAACTGCAAAGTGCTCTTGTCTCAAATATCTTATCAGGGTTTACATAAAATAAATATGATAAAAAAGACTGAAACAAAGCTGGCTCGCTGACTCTGTAGTCTCTTTTCTTTGCTTCCATGTTTGGAGATTTGTGTAATCAGCTATGCTGGCAATGTGCACAGATGCAAAGGCTCATCCAGTTACAAAGCTGAGGAAAATCATGTTGTATTGCTTACAGTGACAAGAACAAGGCTTCTCTCGTGCACTGATAACCTGATGATAAAATCTATATTTTCCCTGGATATTGTTTGAGATTTTGTTTATATGCAAAATATATTATTTTTTAATTAATGTATGTTCTTTATATATGAGATATATTAGACCATGCCCTGCAGCGATTAGTCACCTTAATTATAAGTTATGTCAAAATTTAAACAGCGACTTTAATTATCAAACAACCGTTTCCTGTGGCGCAAACGTTTCAGATGCTAAAATTTACCGCTTTTCTTCGTCATATTTAAAAGTACATTTTAAATATTTAGGCTTTTGGTTGGTGGTTGGAAAAAGCAAATTTAGAAATCATAAAATAAATTCCAACATTTCAAGAACACTGCCAAATAAACTGAACAGAGACAGCCAAATGCTCCCTCCAGAAATCATATTTTTTACTTAGTGTTTCTGGAGCTTTTTCACCACCACCCACAACTGCTTTATATTTTTCTAGTTGGAAGTAACTCCATCATTTCCCAATACATAGCACTGTAATAGAACAGTGTAAAAATGAGCTTTAAATTTTGTCAATTATACGTCCTGAACATTTGAAAACTTGCTCAGATTGAGTATATTGCACGGAATTACGATAGTTATTCTTTGCGCAGAGATAACAGTTAACATTAACAGCCCACTCAGCAACTACAGTAACAAAGGAGAACTGCGTTATAAGAATGAATGAGGAACTTATTTCTGGTGATGGTCTGTTGAATCAGGATTCATGAAAGTGCATTCTCAGTGCTCATGAGTCGTCACACCTGTCTGTTCCTTCCTGTTTCGTCTCCACTGGGGGGGTTCAAGCAGAATGTAGAAGGAGGATAGCTTATTGTACTCCTCCCGGTCTAAGATCCTAACGGTTATGGTCTTCCTGTATGGGACAACACACGTACACATACATAGAGGGAGGTGGTAAATGCATGCATGATAAACAAACATCATGGTGAGGTATATACACAAAAGGCACACACAGACATGCACACAGACAAAGGTGTAGTGGATGTGGTTGATGAGATGACGTACAGTCTGCCGCATGTTCGCTGTCATATTTAGGACACAACAGCAGGAGAACAATAAATCCCCTCCTGTGTGCCTCCATGTGTTAAGAACATGCGGCCTCTGCAGTGCGACGGACACTCTGGGGTCAAGGCTTCACTATTCGCAGGATCACGAGGCTCACCCTCTTCCTGACCTTTGGTGTCATTGCTCTCCACCAGGCGAGGCTCCCCAATCTCTATGTAGAATGTTTTGTTCTTCTCATACTCCTCGTCGTCAATTATTTTCACCTTGATGGTTTTGCTGAAGAGAAGGAGGGGGAGGAGGGAGGGGGGGGAGAAGGGGAAAAAAGGAGGAGAGAAGAAGAGAAGGCAGAAAAGTGAGGAAAGGACAGGCTGGAAACTGGAAAACCAAGAGGAAACAGAAAAGAGCAGTACTCGACTTTCCCACAGATACACGTCCAGTTATCAGGTTACATAATATTTTCACATTCTGAAGGCTGTTCTTTTGCTTTTAAAACTATGGAAAGTTTGCATATTTCCTCTGGATGTCAGACTAATCTTTATTATTATGTTATTGGAGCAGCTCACATCCGTCTGGAATGATCAAACTGATATACTCTTTACTCTGCCAGCATGATCAAAGCTCAGTTAAATCTTTCAATCCACCATGATATCAGGCATCTTTAGTATAGAGAAAAACAATCTTGAATGTTACCGGCTAAATGAACTGTGGAGAGTTTATCAACTCTGCTAGTCAGTTTGGTGAGTGAGCAGTCGTGAGACATGATGATGAATTTGTCAAATGCAATCAGTCAACTTTTGGGATGCAATGTTGACAATGCACTTTTTATTTCCACAAGTATTCCCTTTAAACCTTGGTGACTGTGGGAAACTTAAGCAAACTTAACAATTCAATTTCCATGAAAATGTGTTGTATCTGATGTTAAAGGCTGGGATATCCAGCCTACATAAAATTAAGAATGCTACATGCATATGCTATAGCAGACAAGCATTTGTGGTTCTAGCTCTATTTAAAGTGTAGAAATTCAGCACCTTTTTTAATTAGGCATATCTAAGGCACTAGAACAGAAAGATCTCTGCAGCATTATTCATCACCTTCAATTAATGCTTTCAACAAGATGAGGTCAAGATTAGCTGTGCCTTGCAATTTAACACAAGAGAAACTGGCTAGAAATTAGTACAGTGTGAACAACAAACATGCTGACACGCCACGACTAAAATAGCACGAGCAAAATAACCATCTTTCTCTCTCAAAGTTTTATTCCACTGTTGGTCTCCATCTAAATTACAAACAACACATTGACCATTCTTCCGGCAAATTTTAACAGTGTTTTGTCGAAGAACAAAGACAAGGCAGGGATTTCTTTCTTTGAAAATAGATTTCCACCAATAAAGTATACCAGCAATTCTGGAGAGAGTGTGTGTATCTGTATTTATTGTGGGAGTTGGCCTTGATCGCATTTGGCATGGCAGCTAATATTCCAGGTCACAGTGCTACAGAGTGGGGTGCGGTGAATGTTACATTTGTGTGCTGTGTGACTGAGTGCCTCTGGACATATGCTTATGAGTGTGTTTATCTTGTGTTTCCAGTCTGGAACAAAACCCATATTCTAATCCAAATCCACTACAGGCAATAACAAAGACAGCTCAAAATCTGCCCTATAGCATGAGAAATGGGAACATGAACACACAAGCTTATATAAGCGTTATCTCTCATCGCAGACCTGCAACCAATGTGGAATCGTCAGCAAACACCGTGTTAGCAGAATTTGAATCCCTCCCTCTCTCACCACTGAGCAGCCATGTGAAAAGTAAAAGGTGTATGACAGTGCATATAACAACTTTCAAATAGAAACATGTGTCAGTCTCTAAAATCAGAACAAGAAATATTCAGAAAAGAGCTTAAGGAGTAATACCATACAACAGAATTAGTATTTTATAAAATTTTGCATTGCACTGTTATTCTATTTACAGTAGACTAAAGTAAATAATGATGCCTTTGAGAGAGAAAAAAATAATAGCAGTACTACACTGTATTTCTACAGTACAATACAGTATGTGTTCTTGCTGTACTGAAGAGTCATGTCATGTAGTTGGAAAGGCAAGAAATTGAATTCAGGTAACGCTGGAGAATTTATGCAGTTAGATTACACTGTAATAACACAGTAATTAAGTGTAAGTTAGCGGAGGAATTTGTTACTTTGTAATAAAGACTTGTGATTGAGGTGTAAGTGAAAGTATTCATTTTGCATAATGATTATTATATCATTATATCATTATCCATCCATTTCATTCTACTTATCCAATTCAGGGTGATAGAGGAGCTGAAGCCCATCCCAGGTGTTACTGGACATGAGACAGGGTACATACTGGTCGCCATCTATTGCATGGTTGACACACAGAGACTGACAACCATTGATACTTGCACATTCACACCTAACACCAGTTTAGACTCTCCAATTAACCTAACATGAATGCTGCTGGAGTTAGGTAGCCTGGAGTAGCCAGAGAGATCCCACACAAAACACAGGGAAATGATGCAAACTCCACATAAAAAGGACCCAAAGGTTTATATTTACTTCTTAAATTTAGTTGATCAGAAATATATAGCAGGATAAAATGATAACGACCTGGTAATTACAAATGTCCCACACTTATCTAGCTTATAGGTTTTAGGACTGACAGCCTTAGCATCCACAGCACACCTCTTTTGTGACTGAATACACACAGCAGCTCTGATAATAATTTAATTATACACAGGAAGGCCAGGGGTTAATCATTGTATTACATATACAAATGCAGTGAAAGTCATTTCATTAAACTATTGAGAACACCAACACACACACATGCAAATGTCAGAGGTTAACTTATTACACTAGAGGGATTAGTCCATTTATCACTGTCCTATAACTGCAGATGGAGAGCATTCTCCACCCTCTGGGATGGAGAAGATCTCATCCACAGGCTGCCAGCTAACATTTGCACAACAGCTGGAACAGCTGCCTCAAGGTGGAACCATTGAACAAGACACTTGCCACTCCCAAATGATAGAGTGGAGACAGGTTATGTTTACTTTCCCCTTGTGAATAAATTCTGTTTCTACTTCCTATGAATTTACAATTACACCATCTGGACTGACACTATTGTCAGGTTTTCCTCAAGAGTAACCAACTTTGAGAGCCAATAACAGTTTTTGTAATTTTAATTCCTTTTGAAAGCAATTAACAATTTTGTGTGACCCATATTTTAAGGATGTTTTTTTTCCTTTTTTTAATATTGGCAGATTTGCACAGGATTGAGAGCACAGAACTCTGAAATTAACACAAATCACAGAGGGACCCAGAACAACAGCGGTCTCATGTGAATAGGGATCTGGGCTCCATTTTCCCCTAAAAAACAAAAGCATCAGGCACAGGCCAAATGTTTTGTATTATTACCCTCATCTGTCAGTGCCTTTGTAAAACATTCTATTAGTGACAGCTCGCGTGAATATATATATGAATATATGAATATATACTTAAGACTGAAATGAAAGGTTTTGGATTCAGGCTTTTCTTCTGCAAACTTTGAGAATGACGACTTTTCTGTTGAAACTGGCATATCCAGACAGTGCATCAGCGCAGATATAATTGATTAATAATGCAGTGGATTTATCATCAGCACCTTCATCTCCTATCCAATCATCCTGGCTATACGGCATGCTGTTTGGTTGCCATGGTGACAACATGTTTGGGTAACCAACAGGGGTGGAGAAGATTGTTTCCAGACCAATAATGTGTGTGTGTGTGTGTGTGTGTGTGTGCATGTGTGCGCGTGTGTGTGTCTTTGAGTTTGTCATGACAAGTGAGTGCATTTTAGACAAAGGCCAAATACTTAACATACACTCAACATTTTGTCATTCCCAGGCGGTTTAAAAAAAACAACTTCAGTTTTGTCAGTGGGGCTGGTAATAATGGACACCGGGAGCTGGAAGTTTGAAAAAGTAGAGAAGCCCTCATAAGGACACAGAGGGCAGAATGTGTAACAGCGGCTAAAGTCACGACCAGGCTACCAAGCTACTAAGTGACCCACTTAGCGTTTTGCACTCTGTTTTCTTTTGCTGTCTGGTCAAGTTTAGATACAAAATCTTACTTGGTTAGGTTTGGGAACATGGTTTGGTTTAAGGTATGCCCGTTCAAAATCGACCCTGCATTTTGAAAGATTGTAGCTAAAGGGTGCATTCAATATATATGACAAGTACCAACCTTGTGTGAATCTCTGAGACACCAGCAGGTTTTACAAAACTGTAGTATTTGACACCCTGAGGATGAGGACTGGCTCCCACACTACACTGATTTGTGTGCACATGTGTGAGAGGGACTTTGATAGCCTACACTGTTTGTAGTAACTAGTGCCCCTTTGCCTCTTCCTTTATAATATAATATAAAATAAAGCTGATGTGAACAAAGGTGTGTGATAGTCGCATATCAAATATACAGTTTATGGTTTTCATATAAACATGTGCACTCTATAGTCTTTTAGCTTCACCTAACCAAACACTAACATTAGCCAACTGTCAAAAAGAAGACTCCACTCCCCTTTCCAAAAGTCATATTAGTCCCCACAGGTATACAGCACACACTCACTCAGACAGAGGTGGTATCACACTTGCATGGCAGCATTCGCAAATGTATCACACTAGCACACTTTCACGCCCATGCATGAGCACACTAAATTTCAGCTGCAGGAATACAAAAATTCACACACACATGCAGATAAGCTCAGGCACGCACATTACTCCAGGGAATACAATGTGTGTACATCTGTGTATTTCCACAGAGACGTCCTCCATCTGACTTTGCTAAAGCGTACGATAAACTAAGGGAACATCTGAGCAGCTGTGATCTCTACTCCACTGCTTCTCCAACACTCCACCACTCCTCCTTTTTCCCCTTTATTGCTTCCACGTTTCACCTCATAGCCTTTCATACATAGGATTTCTGTCCATGCTGGTATAACATCAGAACTCATCCTGAAATAGCCAAACAGATAAAACAACAAATTAAACAGACAAAGAATTGCTCAAAAACAACTGACCTGAGTCACATAAACTACAAACACATACCTTTGGCACTGGGTGACCTAAATGTACCAAAATAGAATTCTCCCCCTCACTTTTCCTTTGTGGTGATCCAAGATAC